ATCATAAATCACTTCTGCTTCCTAAATAGCTTTTGACTTCATGTTCTGAGGAAAACATTTGTTGATTGTGTAGCAAATATCTATATTCTCCCGTAAACATTCTTGTTTGCATTGCAAACAGGTATTCTACACATATTTTCCTTGGGTGAGCAAACAACAGAAGACATAAATGAAGTGAAATCAGGCAATGACTTGGGTGTCAGGAATGTAAATCCATAGCTGTGATTTTTTTGTTGTATTCATTCATTTCCACTAAAACTGTTTCTTTGATCATCAGACATACATAATTCCTGTTATAGGCTTGCACTGAAGTAGCACATTTGTGCAGGCCTGGTGCCAGAATAGTTACCAGACTCTGTGTTCTCTTCTGGGTGTCCTTGAGGTGTATCAACCTATATACACCTTCTTCTGCTGTTATGGGCTCTGATGATTTTCTTCCAGAAAAATATTGCAGTGACATTCAAGGTCTGGTGCAAAGGTGCATGTCTTTTATTTAACTTTTTCCAATACACAGTTCAGTGTGTTGGCTGAAGCTGTTGACACAGGTTCCCCTGAGGTAATCTCTGTTCAATTTTAGAGCAGGACTAAACTCAGTGACAGAAGTAAATATTTGGGTTGCTGGAGATGCCCTAAATTGTGCCCTACACATCCAGGTGCTCATTTGCTCGTCACCTGATTTCTGTGTTCCTGGCTCCTCTGCCCCAGAAAGAGGCTGGAACACACCCTGATCCCACCTAACTACCTGTAGGTATAGCATGCTCTTAAGGAGAAACTGTGTTTTTGAGTCTGGGTCTGAGACAGATAAAAAGAGATATCCTACCTCGCAGATGTCCACTGCAGTTGCTGAACTAAGTTGTAAGTGATTGGCATTGCCTCTTCTGCCTTAAATCAATTCTGGCCTTTGATCTGAATCCTCTCTCTCATCCTCCCCATATTCAGAGAGTAAAGGACCTCTCTGGGGACCTCCAAAGAATCAATGTGCATATCTAGAGGAGATCATGGATCTCAGATGGATAAATAAAAGATCATGACTTATTTTTTTAGGTACCTAATAATAAAAACAACTTGTGATGATGAATTGCAAAGAATTTTGTAGAGCTATATTTTGGAGAGGAAATTCTTTTGCAAGTTTGGTAATAGCCTTCCTGAATATAAACAAATGATGTCAGGTATGTCAGGACAGTTCACCTTTGCAAGTCACTGTCGACTAGCGTGAGGCCACCAGAATACTTCTCATTCACAACCCACTCCAAGATTAAAATGCTGATGTATTACCTGACAGGCCCAGCTGCTAGCAGAACATGTCTTCTTAATAAAATCCACAATTCAAGTTATTGGTAGCATTACAAAAACAAAATTGCTAGGAACCACTAAAAAAGTTTTTCTTACTTTGATATACATAGTTTAATCACATTTTCAAAGCACTTAGAGAAGTATTTATGTTTGAGTAATAAGTGCTGATGGGACTTGAATGCTGATTTTGTCCAAGCATGATCTAGAATATCTTTTCATATATACTTATGAAATGTTCCTGAAAGAGATTTCCTAGGTTAAAATAATTATTGAAATAATATTAGACATGTATTTCACTGCAACTTACCTAAATTCACAACCTGTGGGGTAGTGAATTTGAAAATTTAAATTTTGGTTTAAAAATTTTGCAACATGTTGTAGAAAGTTGCAGAATAGAAACTTGGTACTGTCTTAACTTTATTTGTTTTTCACACTTAAACACACGGGCACACACACACACATATACGTACATATGTAGTAAATTCAGAAATCTTCTTGCACCATTAATTACCTTCTTGTAAGTAATTAGACTCAAAGGAATTGAGATTTATGTGGTACTATTCATTCTCTGTTCTCCATATAGTCTTTCATGGGTGGTATTTTTGTAATTTAACTTCCACTGTATAATGGAGAGCCAAGAAGAACAAGGGCAAAAATAATGACCCATTTAGTTCCCTGGCATGTATTCAAGGCAACTTCCAATAGAGTAACTAGCAAAAATAGTTTCAAAACAGATGAATATCATTTAAGGATTAAATGATACTGAGGCATTGCACTTACTTAAAAATATGGTGGTGAATGTCTGTCTGTTAAAGATCACAATGATAGTTACGAGCAACAGAAGTCTGAAAAGAGTTTGTTTCTCCGTCCTCTATCTGAGGAGACTGCAACAAGTCACTTCTAATTAAATTCTGCAAAACAGTCCTTGGATTAAAAATAATGAAGCAATTGAATGTATAATTAAGTATAAATTTAGTCAATTTGCTAATAGCAGTAGTTCTGATATTCACAAGTATCTAAAGGAGGGAAGATGAGATTATTTTAATTTATTCTGTATGTCCAATTTATTTCCTGTAGAAATGTTGCAAGCAGAACAATTTTTCAAGAAAGAGTTACAATGATATATTAAAAATACTAGATGAACCTCACAACATAAATAATGATTGAAATGCTGTTATAGGCTGGTATGATATTATCAGTATTCAACACTGGCATTTTCTGCAGGAGGAAAAGGAGAGAGAGTAAGGTCAGAACAAGGATGTGCTGTAAGTTTGCATATCATTATGTGTAGGAGTTCATAACAAAGCTCCTGCTAATTCAGTTAGGCCACAGGCTGTAACATTTAAAGCAAAAGGATGTTTTGTAATATGCACAAAATGAAATTTTAACTAGAAACTATACTGAATATAAAGAATAATACAGCTTTGGATTACAGACTTGACTGCATAGTGGGAATGGGTTTTCTTCATAGATGATGACTTCATTTGTCAGGTGGAATTCTTCAGAGTTTACTGAAATATTGAAACATCTGTTTCTGCTGGTATCTTCTCCTAAACAATGTCCTGTATCACCAAAAGCTAAAACTAAAGAATTTTGAAAAGTGCTGCAGTTTGGGATCATCAGTGTTAAATTGCACACCACTGAGTGCACTCTATAGGCTGAGATAGGGGGAGAAAAAGGAATTAGAGATATTGAAATGAAAACGAAGTTCCTGTGAAAGTATAAGGAGAGAGAGATTAGATTCTCGTAAATATTTTGGATTTTTGAACTGTTGAAACCTATAAGGACTAGTCATTACCAACTCTACACTGAATGTACTTTAAACATTTTCTGCAATGTAAAATAAAACCATCCTACATTTCTTGATGAAAGCAATACTGACACTGTAGGACCTTATTGCCCTAATTTGTATAGATTTTATAGGTATCTTAAGGAAATTAAAGACTTCAGCAAAGGAACCATATCTTATAATTTCATGAAAACCAAATTTTATATCAGGACAAAAGCTGTTACACAGTACAAATCGTTTTGTGAAAGTGATGTAAACATGGAAACAGTAGAAAAGGAGAAAATTGTAAGCAAAGTATATTTGAATTTAAATTCCATTACAAAGCAGTTATAGTTTTTATTTCAACAGCATGGTAACATGCTAATGAGACACACATAAATACATTCTGATACTGCTTACAGTGTTGTTTTTTTTTAATCTCAAACCCCTTACTCAGAGAAGCTTTTATTTTGTGGAGCAAATTCAATAAACTAATTTATATAACCAATATTCTTAAAAAATATTTTTGTGATCAGTCTGTCCTAGATAATGACTAAGATTTTTGTCCTTACGAAGTTCAATGGCATTAAAGCTGAGATTGCCTTGCCTATCCATACAGCCTACAGCTCCTGTCTGAGACAGACCAAAGGTGACACATAAGGTCTTGCATAACCCACGAGGATGAATCAGATTTCATAAGGCAGCTAAAATGATATTAAATGTCTGTGATGAGTCCACTGAATACCACCATCCCAACAGTGTCATAGCTCATAGAAATCTGACAGTCTTCAAAGTGTCTTTGTGGAAATATTTAACAATTACTTTCATCAAAATATGAAGAGCCCTGCAGTCAGTCAGAAACATTCTTTATCATTTAAGGCATATATTTATCCTAAAAGTGATGGATAGGAACACATAAAGTCTAAAGATGTTGTGGAATGTGATAGAATAAGTATTTTTGAAAGATTATAATATCCAGATAGTTCTGATTATTTTTTTCTAGAGATTTTAAAATGTTAATAAAATACGTACCTTGATTTATTCTTTCAAAAAATGTATAATCCACAGTAAGGCTACCCTGCTGCGCTACCTAGCAGACATCCATCTCTCTTGACATTGCAGGACCCACCAGTTGTAATGCCAGTAAGTGGACTGCAAGTCCTCATGTCCCATCAGACACTGAGCACACACACACAAACACACACAGAAATGGTCCAGAATGCAGAAATACTCTGCTTAATGGAATGCACATATGTGTTAGTGCCCTTCTTTATTTTAAACTAGTTGATATTCTTGATATGATCTGTGATCCTGCAGGAAAAGAACTTTGTTCCCGTGCATAATCAGGAATGTTAAATGACAGGTAAAGCAATTTGGCAGATTACAGGACTGGGTCTAAAGATGCAGTCAGCAGTTGGTGGTCACAACTCCATGTGTGAAAAAACCCAAATTCTTGTCATATTATGGTTGGTTTTTTTTTTTCATTGTTCACATCCATAATTTTACCAAAGGTTGTATGGTCCCTCCTCTTAGAAAGTAAATGAATATTTGTTAACCACTAAACCTGAGAGAATGGCTTGACCATAAGATGAAATGTAAAAGCATCACACAAAAAAGCACAGAACTCATTATACCTACCTTCCACAGGTCTGTGAATGCTAATTGTCTGCATTTTTAGTTAATCTGGAATACCTTCTGTGTTGCTACCTCTCTTAAAACCATGTTCATTAACCAACTGTCTTTTGTTTCTCTTTGCAGTGTCAGCAGGTCAGTATATGGTGAAACTATTTTCAAAGACAGTAGGTTAATCACAAATGATTTCAATAGTATAAAATTTTAGGACTAAGCAGAGGTGTCCCTGAAGCCCATATATTTAAATTCCCTGGTACAACTGTGTCTGGTGATTGTGTTTTCAGGGGGGCACCACAAGCATACTTACCCCTAACAAGCAGCTCCGTCTCATCTGACACAGTATCCGCTGCAGTCTGGACCCTGCAACCGTATCTCCCAGCGTGCATCAAGAGGATGTTCCTGATCATTAAATCTGCAGAGGACGCTTGCTGAAACAGGGATGAAGTGCTAGTTTAAAACTCAGTAAATCTGTGTTCAAGGTAGTACACAAGGGTGTTTTTGTAAGGTTTGAGCAACTCTTGAATGCAGCTTTCATCTTGCAAAATGTATGTGCCCTAATACCCTCTTGTGAGGATTATCAGAACACTGCATTTATACAATTATTAGTAGGGATTAAAGAAGAGGATTTCAGGTTTCTAATAACTTTGACTTTGCTTAAAGCACATTGCGCATATTTACACATTCAAAGAGAATTATTCCAAACTAAGACAAAGAAATTCATTAAGGAGATGAACAGAAATGTTTTGGATGCTGTCCTTGGTATTGAAAAAGTCCTCTTAGAATTTCAGAATTTTCTTCCTCCTGCTCTTCCCTACAATGCAGTGACATTATGTCTCACTACTGTGATGAAATTAAGATAATTTTAAAGATAATATTGATTGATTTTTATTAACGTAGAGGAAATTAATGCTAAATGTGATTGAGAAAATACGAACAGATTCTCATCCTTCCTGTTGAAATCTGTATGTATTTAAATCTGAAACATGCAAAATGTATATAGAATATAAAGAGAGAACCAGTTCAAATTTTTATTTTTTAGAATTTTATCAAATAGTGATCACAATGCCCCAAAATTATGAGCATAAAAGAGAAAATTTGAAAGTACAATAGATTTCTGGAGAATAAATGGCTTTGCTAAGAATCTCTACATTATTTCATAAATTCAAGCAATAATATGAGATTTTGAATGTACAAAATCGTTGTTATATCCAAACTTACTGGAGACAATAAGTGTTGCTCCATCAGTTATAAGGAACCCAAGTCTATATATATTGTTGATTTAATATAGTCACTGCTCAGGGAAACAACACTCACACTGACCACATAGTATAGTAATTGCAGTTTACTTCCTCAATTGCATGTTCTAAAAATGTTTAAAAGTTTTTGATTTAATACAAACATGAACAATTTTGGCAAATTGCCAGAAGTACTTTTGTTCATTTCAAAGCATTTTTTTTTTCTCTTAATAGTCAAACGGAAATGCTTTTAGTGTATTAGCCAAGGATAGATAAAATGTCTTGCAAATATTTCTAAATTATCTTATCACTGTTAATTTGTACAATATATGAACCTTAATGAATTTGTACAATATATGAATATTTATAAGCACTTCCTCGATGTTTCACTCTAAGAAACATTTATTGACTGTAGGCGTTTCCTTTTTCAGATTTTGTTTTCCTTGCTAACCAAGTAGAGATTGATGGTCTTTTCTTGAATTATAAGTTTTTGTCCCATACAATAGTTCTAATTTGAGTAATTTTGATCCTGAGTGAGTAGAATTGTACCCTGCATTCAAAATAGAGTCTTACTAGGAATGTTAATGTTGATACTTTTCTAGCTGTGCTGGAAATTTGTCACTAACCTAGTTTCATATTTGCTTTTTTTTTTGGCACATACTTATTCTGTGCTCATGCAGATACACTCAAATCTTTATCCTTCTCAATCATTTGCAAGTTAGGAGCTCACAATTTATAACCAGTCATTCATGTGTGGATGACCTTGTGGTTTGTAGAATTACATTTCTTGTCTGTTCCCATCAGTTAATTTCATCATCTGCTGTATTGATAAGATGTCCAATTTTGTACCATACAATTGTCATTTGCATACTTTTATCTCTGATGCCAAGGTCATTAATGAAAAAGGAAATGGGATTCATTTCAAGATCCAATCTTCTATAATTTATTTTTTTCGTTTTAGGCAGCAGAATTCCTTTTCAGCACATCTTGGCATAACTTCTTCAGCCATTCTTCTCTTCATTTGCATTTTTGGAACTAAAATTGCCATAATATTCCATGTAGCACTAAGGTAAAATCTTTACTGAAGGATATACGCATGCAAAGAAGGAAAAGAGAGATGGGACATCAAGGCTGCCTTCGAGACCAGGGTGAATATAGGCATGATCTATAGCTTAATAACCCTGTAGATCTAAGAGCATGATTACCGTGGGAGTGTTTTGCCTTCTGAAGTGGCCTAGATAATGATGTTGCTGGAGGGAAGATACTTAGACCAGTCAGGCCATAATGCAATTCCTATATTCTTGCTCTGGCATATCAGAAATCACAGCAGTGGAAAAGAATATCTGAGTTATCTACAGATCAAAATGCAAAAGAAGAGAATACACTCCTACCAGGAGTCAAATTCAGGATATAATTTTTTTAAGTCATCTAACACAGCAGCATTTACTAGCTATTCAAACATGGGTTGCTCTAGATGATTAGTGATCTTTTTACAAAGCCTTAGTTATTAGGATAAGACCAGAATCAGTCCACATTTGTCCTCTCTTGAAGGTAACTTACATTTAATATCTGTTTTGTTTTTAAGTGGGAGGAATAGCATAATGGATAGCAATTGTCTGATTTAATTGCTCAGGAGCTGTTAAAATACTTGCCTGTCACTCTAACTTCAGGTTCAGAGAGTTCATGACATGATATTCTTATCAGGAAAAATATATGTATTTCATCTGCATACCTGTGTAACTGGGCAGACAACCAGCAATTGAAAGAATCATTGCTGTAGGTGGAGAGCAGTGCAGTACAACAGATCCCCATGAAACACTTTTATTGCAGCATAACAGGATGTGCAGCCAGCATTGCTGAGGATGTGTGAGTGGAAAGATATTAAACACACTTTGTTTAATACAGATATATGGTCAGACATTAGATTCTTGATCATGGGAAATAATGAGACATTTTAGCCTACATTTAGATAAGTAGGAGCTATGTTTGACCAGGACCTAAAAAAATACCACATTACTGCTGTTCAGTCGCATTTATAAAGTGGTCTTTATTAGTTTTACAGACTCTTCCAAGTCATGGAAGACAGATTATTTTGCTGAGTAATTTATCCTGTAGTGGCAGGTTATAGGCAGGAGTTGCAGGGTCTGAAGGAGGTTAAACCAATGTGATGACCTTCTACATCTTGAGAAAATCTCTGCACCTTGTCATTGCAGTGGTGCTTAAAATTGAGTGATTAAATTCAGTTTTAAAAAATCTGCTAAGCGGGAATGCAGCTGAGACTCCGTTAAGAAAAGTATCTAATGTCTGCTTTTAGTCTTCTCTCACTGGAAAAAGACATGATACTTCAGCAAAAGCAGAGACATACCCTCCCCTTTGAGAAGACAAAAACTGCGTGACATGGATGTAAACAGTGTAGAAATATCTCTCACCTGGACTAAAATGAGTTAGAACAGCCTGATGTATCAGCAACCACATGGTCCAAATTTTATTCGAAGCTAAAATTTTTGGTATTCAAATTTCTTTGTCCACATCTATTAAGTGTACATTTTTAAAAGCTGGTTTTTATTTCATTAATTTTATGCTCTTCTCTGACAGGTAATATTTTGCAAGAAGTGCACTATTTCAAAGTAGTATTTAATTAGAAAAATCCATATTCCTTGGTATTCTGAGTATCATGTATTATCCATTTAACCAAACATCAAAAGTACTTGTATTTTTTCAGTATAAATTTCAGTGAAATATATATTGTTCTTTACCAAAGCTAAAACTTAGGACAAAACAAAACATATAGATTCAACAACCAATCTTCAATGATTTTCAGGAGAGTTAAGTGTAACCTTCAAGGCCAGCATCAGCTATGGACCTACTGTAACACTGAACATACTGCTGGTCTTCATTAAGCAGTAAATAAAGAATAATACAGATATCAATGCTATCTGTCATGATTAGTGTTTCTCTCTAAGACAAAAAATTATTGTATCATTTATATTATGTCCCCAAACACACCATTCATGTGGTTCTGGGCAGCTTCAGTGCTGAATGTTGTGTCAATCTATGGCTCTCTCTGCTCCAGTGTGGTCTGTTATCTGAAGTCATAGTCATGTCTGCAATATATCTAACTAGCTTTACCTGTAAGGTATTGCTTGAAAGAATTTTTTGCAAAAATTGGTGCCACATATACATTAACATTTGCTTTTGATGTGGAGATACTTCCCCAAACTCAAAAAGTCCCCAAGGAACATATAATATGCATACCTTACTCAATAAGAATAACCTCATTGGATTTGTTTTTTGCACCCATTGCCCTAATACTGGGGATTTGCTGAGGAAAAAAAAAGTCACCTTTCAGACAATTTACTGTTGGGGAATTAATACTTCTTCAGTCATCCCACATCCCCACAGCGAGGAAGTTGTATGTGGATTTTTTCCTTTCTATTTCATAAATCTTAAGAGTTTGTGAGTGGCTTTGCAATAAAGTAACTTTTGCATATGGTTCTTTGAACTAAGAGAATTAAACTTATTCTTCCCGTGAGAGTGAGTTCATTGTCCTGAGCCAGTTGCTAGGAGACCTCTCTGTTAATCTGTCCATTCATTTGCTGAATTTTCATCTCTAAACCAGGGTGGTCCATTCAGTATACAACCTTTTCTTCCAAAGGCTTTGTACACAAACCCTCTCTAATCTACCTTCATTTGAAGAGGAGCTCACAGTTACACACTAGAGCACCTAATATCTAGTAAGTCTCTTGTTCCCTTCTCACTATTTCTTCCATGGAAGAATTACACTCTGGGTTTATCACATATGTGCAAACTACAGAATCATATGTAGAATATATATATGAATTATCAATCTCTTGTCATTGAATCAATCCCAGCTTTCTTTTAATTTTGCTCATTTTACTGCTCATTTTCCACATTGATTGTGGAAAATCATTCCTCCCTTCCACACTCCAACTGCAGTTTTTTGAATTTATCTTGTAAAGAGGGACAAAAAGCCAAGGAAGTTCATAATGCTGGGTAGTCAGCAGAGATGACATGGTGACCTGCAACACTGAGTTTCTGCGCTGTAAAGGCTTGAAGGCAATAAAGCCTACCTATTATTGTGCAGAGGATTCAGGTTAGGAACTCAACCTGGATAACATAGTTTCTTTGCTTGGAAAGAATATGCCTAAAAAGAGTAGTGAGTCAATTACAAA